GGTAACATCGCTTCTGGTTCCCCTATCTCGACTTGAATAGATGGTTTACATTCATGTTGTCAGGTTGAGCAAATGTATACATAAAACCTTGAGCTACACCCGTGTGTTTTACACCTGAAGCCACTAGACTAGGGCAGGGAGCAGCTGGGACCAACACCTTCACGTGCACAGCTGCTCAGAACTACACACAGAGCTGACATCGCATGATAAATGGTGAAGGTTAGAATGTGGAGAGCAGAGCAAGAGAATGGCTGTGCTCTCAGCTCCAACCTTCCCAACAGGGCTCCCCGGCCACACAGCCCCCCCGACGCCCAAAGCCCCAGCGGCGGAGGCACCCAGCTTCCTCGCTCGGCCTGTCCCAGGGAGCCTTCTCAGGGCCGGACTCCTGCCCCGCAGGCTTGCAGTTCACGGACTCGCAGACAGCCCCTAAGCTTCAAGGTCTATTATTCAACCCCTACCCACACCCTTCCAGCCCTCTTTTTCTTGGAAATCTTCTTTTCCCAAGAAAGCTAAGTAACAGAATGACAGTTCCTTTACCTCTGTCGTGAAATGGGTCAGAGACCTGAGTTTCCATACCTGGCAGTCACTTAGCTAAATGACCAGAGGTGAATTCCCGCAAGGGTTTGGAGATGGCTCCCGCATAAAGGAGAAAATCACACCTGCCCTTCCCTACCTCCTAAAATCACACCCAGTGGCGACTTCTCAGCAAGATACAGGTTAGACACAGGCACTGGATTAGATTTGAATATATTAACATACACTCACTCTAATGAGGAAATGAATGAAGAACAAATAAGTCTTCATTCCCGCCCTAACCAGTGTGTCTCAGTGGGTAGAGCGTCGGCCTGTGGACTGAAGGGTCCCAGGTTCAATTCTGGTCAAGGGCATGTACCTTGGTTGCGGGCACATCCCCAGTAGGAGGTGTGCAGGAGGCAGCTGATCGATGTTTCTCTCTCATCGATATTTCTAATTCTCTATCCCTCTCCTTTCCTCTCTGTAAAAAATCAATAAAATATATATTTTTTAAAAAGTCTTCATTCCCCGTGCGGTGCCGGCTTTTCTTTCTATTCAACTTTCTGGACACAAAGGAGTAGAAAACGCAAAGGCCAGGCAGTGTGGTGCAGTGGGCACAGCCTGGCTTTGCAGACAGACAGGCTGGCTCTCCTGCCCTTGAGGACAGAACCAGGCTCCACCCCTCTCTCCTTCCTCAGAACCCAGCACTGTGCCCTCCCAGATGGATGTCCACTGGATTAGGGCACTGAAGATGCTCTGTATGATTTCATGAGGGGGTGTGTGTGTGAAATACAGAATGCACAACTCGGAGAGTGAGCCCTCCTAAAGCTATGGACTGTGGGTGAAAACGATGTGTCAGTGAGGTGCATCAGTGGCCTCGGGCATGCCGACAGTGAGGGCTGTGTGTGTGAGGGCAGGGACATGTGGAAAATCTCTGCTCCTGCCACTTATCTTGCTGTGAACTTGAGCTGCTTTAAGAAATAAAGTTAGGCCCTAGCTGGTTTGGCTCGGTGGATAGAGCGTCGGCCTGTGGACTGAAGGGGCTTGGGTTTGAATCCAGTCAAGGGCACATGTCCAGGTTTTGGACTTGATCCCTAGTAGAGGACATGCAGGAGACATCCAATCAATGATTCTCTCACATCATTGATGTTTCTATCTTTCTCTCCCTCTCTCTTCCTCTTTGAAATCAATAAAAATATATATATATTTTAAAAGATACTGCTCAGTGAAGAGCTTTAAAAGAAAAACAAAGTATTTGTTGCCCAGCTGGTGTGGCTCAGTGGTTGAGCATCAACCTGTGAACCAGGTCAGGGTTCGATTACTGGTCAGGGCACATGCCCTGGTTGTGGGCTTGATCCCCAGTAGGGGACGTGCAAAAGGCAGCCAATCAATGATTCTCTGTCATGGTTGATGTTTCTCTCTCTCTCTCCCTCTCCCTTCCGCTCTGAAATCAATAAAAGTATTTTTTAAAAAACTATAAAAAAATAATACCTAAGACTAAAAGCTCAATTTTCCTCACTCCCTAACACTTCTCAGCACATAAGATTGAATCCTTAAAATCACCTTAGACTCCTTCAAATCACCAAATTTCTTAATTCTTTCGTTGAAATGTGTCATTAATCCCAGGCCTTCCTATACAGAGCACTGTTAACAGTAATAACATCAGCTAACGTTTACATTGTCTGCAACAGGCGCCTTCCTAAGGTACATGTGTCACTTACTTAGCCTTTAAATGAGGTGTATGGCCCTTCTAGAAATAAGGAAACTGGCACAGAAAAGTTCAGCTGCCTGAAGGTGCACGGCTGGTGCGTGGCAGCAGGACCCACAGCCGGGCGCCTGCGCTGAGTCCCTGCCCTGTGCTGCCCAGGCGCCCAGGCCTCGCAGAGCGCCGCTGGGAGGACGGCAGCGGCTGAGGCTTTTAAAAATAATTGTAATTGATTTTTTAGAGCGAGCAAGAGAGAGAAACATCAACTGCTGTTCCACTTGTATATGCGTCCTTGGATGCTTCTGCCTGTGCCCTGAGCGGAGATGAACCCACAGCCTACGTATCAGGACAAGCTCCAAACTGTCCTCCCGCCTCCAGGTCTATCCAATCTGCAGTTCAAAGTAATCACTATGTCAGAAAGTCACCCCAACAGGCAGGGACTCCCCCCGCTCTGCATGCTATGCCCCTGCCCAAGCCCCGCACCCCTCGCCCCCACTGGCTCTGCCGCTGCTGGCACCCCTGAGCCCACATAACTAGTTACCAGAAACAGCGCCTCTTGGGCCAGCAAAGGTATGGCTGCCACTTTTCAAATAAAAATGTTACTAGGCAGCTCAAGGAAAACAGAACAAAAGTTCCATAACGCATAGAAATTAGTGAAGTAACCAAGTGCAAATTTATGAAACTAATTTTCTAACAGCCCTGTCTGGCAGTTCCTATATGTAAGAGTGGAAGCTCAACAGTGACCTGAAATGCATATAATGAGAGAAGTTTTATTTTGTATTTTCTCCAGATGTGATGGCACCTCAATCACTGTCAGAACTTCCTCATTCAGCCCCAGCCTCTCTGGCTCAGTGATAGAGCCTCCACCCACAGACTGAAGGGTCCCGGGGTTCAATTTCTGTCAAGGGCATGTACCTCAGTTGCAGGCTCGATCCCTGGCCCGGGTCAGGGTGGGTGAGGGAGACAACCAATCAATGTGTCTCTCCCACATCAATGTTTCTCTCTGTGTGTCTCTCCACCTCCCTTCCACTCTCTCTAAAAATCAATGGAAAAATATCCTCAGGTGAGGGTTAACAACAACAAAAAATTTACTCATTTTACTCCCAATCTTGCTCCCACCACCGACTTGCCCCTCTAGCCCAGAGCCATCACCATTCTC